GTATGGGTCTCATATAAAAAAGATGGCGATTTTGACTGTTGCGCAGATCAATGAGTACGAACTGAGACGTTTCCAAGCTTTAATTAAGTAAATTTCATGTTATTGGAAGCCATTGAAGGAGTCACTGACGGTAATCAGTGCAAGTTGCGCCCAGGTCAAACATCATACTTGCGATTTCCATTTGAAGAGCGCATTGGATTGTGGGAAAATCAATGTTTATCAACACAACGACGATTACCGCGCTTTAAAGCAATTATTCAAAATATCTAGATGTTTCAGGCAATGGCCCTTGTCCAAAATGTCCAGGTATTTTGAGAAGTTACTTCTAATAATGATTAACAAATATTGCCTACTATATATTATTGGTCTGATCAGTTTTTATCACTATTAGTACTACACACTTTATTAGGCACACAAAGATGCCAGCTGACAATATTTATAGTTGATACACGTATACATGTATCTATATACTTGTATTCTCGGGAGCGAACATCCAGTGTTCCACAGCAGTTCGCGCAGAGCCCATACAAATACGTGGTACAGTGGTGCGCGTCTTAGCAACGTAGAACGTTCTGTGAGATAGCCCCGCTCCCGAGAATATCTAACCAACAGCGATGGACAGTACAATGTGTATACTACTACAAATACCACAGTCCATACAAACTGAGAATACTTACGCATTGGTTGCCAAAACACCCGTCATTTGTGGCTGTGCTTTCATTCTATTAATAGAGTTGAGCTTTTCCTATATAAAAAAGAATAATAATTAAGTATTCAATATAATGATATATTTGTATCTGGAGAATTTGATTAAAGGTAATGTGACATCAGCACATATTTATTGACTTACAGTATCATTGTCATGCTTATAGCGGTTATAGGACGAGTCTTTGTTATTGCTATCAGAGTTGAGATCATTTTGTGATAATTTCTGACTTGTATCATCGTCTGTAGATAAATTATCACTTTCTCTGTATTTACCAGTTTTGTCAAACTCTTGAACTGAAAAATATTAATAAAAACAAGTTATGAAATTTTCAACATACATGTACCATTAGTTAGACCTCTTTGCTATAGATAGCATGCTTATTAATAAGTTTATTTTAAGTTTAGTATGATGTCACACTTTTCTCAAATAGTGTATTTACATGTACCACATTTTTGAGGTAATTACAAAAGTTGATGTGTTTTGAACCACAGGTAAATATAAAAGTTGCCTTATATTTTAATAAAAGAATATTTTGAATTTAATAAAAAAATATTCTGTATGTGTATCATGTGAACTGGTGACATTATGACCATCTCTGTCATAAAATCAAACGATATCCTCAGTTGATAATTTCATGAAAACACAACAACAAAATATATTCAAATATATCAACACATTCTGATCGAACAACCTAACTGCACTGAGATACTACTCCCTGAGTGCAGACTCCAGATGTATTGTACTCCAGAATTTGTGAGCACCACGAGTAGTATATGGGCTGAACGCTATCACAAACACCATGTAAAATATGGCTCCAAGTAGTGAAACCATAGTCAGAATGAAATGAATCAGTGTTATGAGAATACTTTCTATTTCAAATATTTAACTTTATTCATGTCTTTGTATCACATTTCACACTGATAATTTACAAAAATGCTGACAAGTGACAAGGCAATGATGAACTCAGTGACTTGAATTTCATTTGGTTATGTATTCCTTTTGTGAGGACCCTTGGTGACTAAAACTGTGTCGTTCATCAAGAGTACTGTAAAATCTGTATTAAAAGCTGCGGCTTCTAATGAAATGGAACAACACAAAAGAGAGGATGCGGTTTCTATTAGAGCATATGAGAAATGGTGAATTTGTGGGTCTCAATTGTTCAAAAAGAATGGGTGCGGCTTCTATTAGGGATGCAACTTTAATTACAGATTTAACGGTACTATATATCATCTCTCTAGTAATGATTTCATCTGTGTCATTAATTATAAATCTGATCTCGACATGAACCATCACCCAAATTAAAGTTCCGTGTGACCAGTCGGCCAACCCTTGACGACACTGAATTTAGCTGTGACCAAATTAGAGAATTGAAGACATCATCACAAAGTGAACAAATCTGAGAGAGGTCTACTTGTAGTACCTTTAGTTATAATATTAAACCAATCAGACTTGTAGTTTTTAACAATTCAAAAATATCACTTTTTACCAAAAATGACAAAAATATTCATCAAAATGAGAGAATATCATCATGAATTGAACAAATCTGAGAGAGGTCCACCTGAGGTACCTACATGTATATATTGTAGAATACAATGTATCAAAGCAATTGGACTTGAAGTTTTCATGCAAGAAGAAGAAGTCGAAAAGGTAAAAAGTTGATGTGGGCGGCGATGACGGACAATTCTTTATATGATAAGCTCCGCATGACACCATCATGGACTTGTGACTCCATGTATAAGAAATACGGCAGACTATACAGGTCACTTGTCTTTGATGATTTCCCAACTCATTCAGAATACCAAGAGAGTATATAGAATTATCCAATGTACATGTCTCATTGGACATCCTCTCTCTCTCTCTCTATATATATATACCGGATTCGGCTGATACCCCGCCCATCCTAAACCCCGCCCATGGGCGATGTTTCAAATAGTGGGCGATGTTTTGGTCCACACATTGCCTGACTGAACCTACAAACATTTTTACAGACCCAATTTTCCTGTCCGACATCTTGTATCGAGCGCGCTATTTCAAATATGACATTAACAATAATTCACTGTGAGGCCGAAAAGCCTGAAACTCCAATAAAACCAATGCAGTATACAAATTGTTGTTGCGTATTATTACACTTGAATAAAGTCTATGCTTGAAAAGAATGTTATTTACGAAGTTTAAAATAGCCAAGCCTTCCTGATTCGAGCCTCTTGGTTGTTATCAGTAATATTTAATCTTTGTCTGTATCGCATTCCAGACAAAAAGTTCAAGATCGGTAAACAAGAAATGGGCGAACTAAAATGTCTCCTGTGTTTCACATGCGACATGATTATTAAAAAAGAACACAGAGTTAAGGGGTCATGTACGTTCTATAAATCTAATGTGCACACATAATTTTGTATTGACGTGTTTTTTTCCAAAAAAGACGTTTAGTGTCAGTTAACCCCCAGTTACCGGTAACTCTTTGCATTCATGCGTTTGTGAGAGTTGAAAAATTTTGTTAACAAATGACAAGTAACTATATTGATTTGCGTCAAGCTGGATGGCCCGAAATTAAATATCAGTGCGTGAACTCTGGAGGTCATTGCCCAATGCTGCACGTAATTCAAACACGTGGTTAATAGAGTTCAGTCGAAATGTACGTGAATATTGCGATCGAAGTGCGCTGTCCAGAGTTTATTATATTATAGTAAAATTTAACTTGACACATAGTATGGTTTATATTACATGTCCACTTCATTTCGAATAAAATAATTCACCATTGGAACATCGATGAATCACAAGTATTTAAAATATTTTCTCCGTCGACTTTCTGTAGATACTTGACTGCCACTATCCCTTTTAATGATTTAAATGCGCCCATGTTCATGTTTGCGTAATTATTACGAATGCAACGCATTATCAAGTCGGTAATATTGTAATATTCACAGACCCAATACCCCGGGTCAGTGCCCTAACAATAGTAAAAAATAACTTGGATTTGCATAATTACCATGAAAGCAATACATTACAAAGTTGAAATATTCAGAGCCAGTACAATATTGTAAACAAATTTGCATAATTAGAAAAGCAGTGCACTAAGTAAACGACGTTGATATATTCAAAGCCAGTACAGAGTTGCATACAAGTTGCGTAATTACAGTACCGTCGGATATAATAACAATTTTACTAGATCGAAGCGCGGACCACGAAAGGAAAAGGTTGCTAAGGTAATGTGCCAGTTCAGTGCGTGACTTGGGGTCAAACATTGGTCAACACACACTTTATGTCAGCATAGCTGCGCAGCAAGTTTCGCAAAGAAGTACTTTAAGTTCAATTGCGTCCCAAAATGATGCCGCTGATCACTCAGTTGTCGCAGCGTGTGTTGTGTCATGTCTATGATGCACCCTGTTTCGACTTTGGCTTGCTTTTCCTTCTTAGTGCATGTTCTTGTTCACGTAAAATGCGACCTCTCATCAATGTATTAAAACACTTTGAATTTATACTTTGCATGATTATATTTGGTCAACGCGAAACATTATTTTTTCTAAACATTTTCTGAGACTATTTTTTATCAACGCAGTGTTATTTTTCCAGACAATATGGGCTTCGTAATATCTGCCAAAACATCGCCGGGCGATCTTTTGGTCCACATTTTTCTAAAAAAAAATCGAATCCTCCATAAGATAGCCCAGGGCGGGATATCAGCCGAATCCGGTATATATATAGTAGACACATGATTGCATATCTCCATTCATGCACAATATTAAAGGGTTCCATGTATTGAAATAGTAGCAGTTATTACCATGCAATGAGTGATATACCCACTACAGTAACTGTATTTGCTCCTTTAGAAGTATATCTCCAATATCAATGCATATCAACCAACAGTTGTACATGTATGTAAACTGATCATTTAAATATGAATTATTTTGACCAGGAACACACCTCTGTCATTAACATATTATATATTATTAAAAGTGAATGCACTACTAATAGAGCAAATATGGTATTAGACGGTTTTTACAAATATTATCTCATAATGGAAAGAATTATGTCTCAGATGATATCTATGGATGGTGACTAAGCTCAACATTTTTGGTGATTGGACACATACTCTAGATGTCTCTATTGAATTTGCAGGGAAGTTGTTTGACATGTATTAAAACCAGTTTTATTTTTGATGAATCGATACTAGCCAACATCTGTTTCACTTCAGCAACAAAAGATTCCAAGAATAAATGTGTCTGGGGAAGATACTGGTCTTTCTTGGAATATAATAATCAATTTGTTAACTGATCATGGGCAGATAAAATCTACACCTTATCTCATCAATAGCGAGGTAATTTTGTTATTTAAATTTAAACTGCTTGTTGCCAAGGTAAAATATTATACGTATTCAGATACTACTAATTAAAAGGACCAATGACCAAAATGTCTGATTATTTTGAATAATTACTACGAAGTATGATTATCAAGGAAAATCATTAAAAATGGCAATAAGCTGTGAATCAAATCAAGTACCATTCATGTTGATCATAGCAACAACTTAGCAACTTATAACCCCGACAATTTTAACGACAATCTCAGTACATTTTTCAGTGACTGCTACTTTTTGTAAGTGCAATTAACTTTGCTATGTTTGCAACAACCAAGTGTTCCAGAAACATAAATTTAATTACAAAAAGTGTTTGAGAGAAAAAATGGAGTCTGAGTCTTCATTGTTCTTTTTAGGACACAAATTATTTACTTGATAATTGACCCCTTACTGAAAACAACTATGGCAATTATGATAAACACACAACAACGAGTTCCAATTGTCAACCCGTGTACCATGACAAAATCAATAAACTTGAAAAAGTGGACAAGCAATGCTTTGCGCAATGTACAGTGCTGAATTCAAATTACATATTTTAAAAACAAACAGCCTGTCGGCTGAGATAGTTCCGCTGTTAGCAATGCACATTACAATTAAAGAACAGAAGATATCATTAGAAAATGAACAATATGTATAGTGACAAAGCAATTGTACCGTTTTCAATAAGAATTCGAAGATACCACTTTTTACCAAAAAATGACAAAAATATTCATCAAAATTAGATAATTGAAGATATCATCACGACATGAACAAATCTGAGAGAGGTCTACCTGAGGTACCTATATGTATAGTCAGGGGTTTTTCTAGTAAAAAACTGCAAGAGGGAGCACTGCAATTCAGCAGCGCCACCAAGTGGGAAGATAGGGTTTTCCCTACCAGAGTTTTTGATAATTCTAAGTTGAAATGGGGATTCTATGGCTTCCTTGGGGCCAAAATTACTAT